CTGGCGACCACTCCGCGGCCCCTTTCGCACCGCACGGGGGTGCCGACCGCCGTGGGGACAGGGCCGCCTGATCACCAGGCCCCCTCCTCCTCCTCCCTCCTCCTCCTCTCCTCCTCCTCCCTCCCTCCTCCTCTCCTCTCCTCCTCCTCTCCCTCCTCCTCCTCCTCCCTCCTCCTCCCTCCTCCTCCTCCTCATCCTCTTCCTTCTCCTCCTCCGCATCCGCATCCGCATCCTCCTCGCGCTCACGCTCACGCTCGCTGAGGATCCCTGTGCTGAACGCTCCTACTCCTCCTCCCCCTCCTCCTGCCCCTCCTCACTCGACCACTTCTCGCCCTCGTCCCGAACAGTCGGCTGAAGTTCCTCGTGAAGTGGGGCCACCTCCAGCTGCTGCAGTACGAGGACGCCGACGTGGCGTGGCGCTGCGCGGTGCTGGATGAGGCACGGCCTCCTCCGCCTCCTCCTCGCTCCTTGTCCTCCTCCCTCCTCCTCCTTTCCCTCCTTGCTCCTCCTCCCCCTCCTCGCTTCTCCCTCCTCCTTTCTTCCCCTCTCCCTTCCTCCCTTCTCCTCACTCCGCCGCAGCTCGTGCTCACACACTGGCACGACTGGGATCACACGGCTAGGGCCGACGGACGGGCCTCCTCGGACTCCCTCCGTGTGGCAGGTTCGCGCCGCGTCGACGGTGCGGTGACCCGACCGCGGGCGTTCGAGCTTGAACACCGCCTCTGGCCCCGAATCGGCCGACATCGAATGACTTGGGCTTCGGAAAGCCGCAATCGTTCAGGGGTGAACGATCCACGCGGTGTCAGAGACCAACGCCGACGCTCCGCTCACCTGATGGAGAGCCTGTCCTTCTTGTGGAATGCTTGTTCTTTGTGGCTGAAGTTTCGACGAGAACCGTGCATGGAATGCACCCGCCGTGTCATGTCCTGCGTTTCCACCACGTAAACGAGTGCGCAGCACTTTGCTGTCGCCCCTGTGGTCGTGCGATTGATCGGCCTCAGCTCACCTGACAGCGCTGCCACGCCTCGTGGATGCATCTTCGAGGCCTCCCCGGCAGTACCTCGCGGGGGCGCTCGAGGGCGCCTGGGACGGCTAGAAATCGTGGGTCGGTGGCAAGCCACCTCTCCGTGCTCTCGGGCGTGCCTTATCGGCGACACGTAAAGTCGGCAGTAACCTCTCGCCGGAGCGACCTTTGGTGCGGGCTTGCCGGGCCCTCCGATCGCCGCCTGCGCTGCGACGGCAGCGGCCTGCGCGCCCGATTCTGGCCCTCCCTCCCCCGCGCCCCCCGACTGCCGAGCACCGAAGGCCACCCTTGCCCAGGGCCAATATGGCGTGCAGCCGACCTTGGTCCTTCCGCTCCTCTCCTTCTCCTGCCCCCCCGGCCGTCTGGCATGGAGTGCCGGATGCGCGCTTCGCGCGTCGCCGCTTCTGGGGCTTGGCCCGCCCCCCTCGCAGCCTCCTTTTTTCTCCCGTTGTCTGTCGTCTGCTGCTGCTCCCGTCCCGACGTACCCTTCCGCACCCATCCCGGCTCCTGGGGCGGGCGGGCGGGTGGAGAAGCCCCCTTCGTCCCTTCCCCCAGTGGTTTCGGCGGAGGCGAGGGGGGCGGGGAGGGTGAGGACAGCGAAGAGTAAGATATCCAGCTGTCTCTGGCAATTCCGCCACCGCGTCAGCGCAGCATCTTGGGCGGCAATTGCCAGCGAGGCGCCATGGCCGCCCAGGGGCCCTGGGGAGGAGGGGCGATGCACGTGGCCGTAGTGAGAGGAGGGGGGGTCCCGCAGAAGACTACAGAAACCCTGCCTGACAGCACTTGGCATTCTTCCACATCTCCACGTGCCAGGGGGCATGGTGGGCGCTCCTCCTCTTCGTCCTCGTCCTTCCTCCCCCTGCGTCCCCATTCGTCTCTCCTCCGCTCCCATCCTCCTCCCTCCCTCCTCCTTCTCTCCATCCTCCTACCTCTTGTCTCCTCCTCCCTGCTCCTTCCTCCTCCTCATCGCCATCCCTCTCCCCTGTTCCTCCACGTCTCCCCTCCTCCTTGCCCTCCCTTCTCCGTTAATTTTCCTTTCTGAAAAGAGAATCGGCTCTTCCCCCTGGATTATCGGTATCGTTTTTCGTATTGCAATTTACATACGAGTCTGGCCCATCGTCCATCCTAAATATGTACTCGTACCATCCCAGCCCAACCGGTATCGACCCCCCCCGCCATCCTTTGCCCAAAATGCTATGCGCGCACCCTCGTTTATCACATAGCATAAGTTTTCAATAACCCCTTTCAACAATGGGATGAAGTGAACACGCGCGCGTCGTCGCGCGCGCATGCCGAAATCCTTCCATCCCCCCGATTTCGTAAGGATTTCAAAATCGAGTGTCCCAAACACACATAACCTAAGGGCTTCGTAACACGGATTTTCAAAACAAACTTGCGCGCGTTCTTGCGAATTCTTAAGAAAGCCATCGGTTCTTCAACATTTTCATAGAATGCTACCAAGCGAGCTTCGCGCGCGCATGTCGAAATCGTTCGGACGCCTTTGCGCGCGTGCTTCTCGCGCGTTTGCCGCGCGAGCATTTCGAACTCCTTCCAAAACCTTCATCGCCGATGCGAAGACGCCGTCATCGTCGTTTGCGTGATCAGCATCGGCGCCGTCACTGGCTGCCCCGTCGTCGCTGTCAGCATCGTCGCCAGCATCGCTAGTATCGTTATCGTGTCTACCGTTGTCGACGCTGTCATGATACCGCGCCCGCCCAAGTCACCGACTCGCACTGAAGTGCCCGCTGGGATGTGCCGAGCGGTCAGCGCCACCGCGTTCGCGTCGGTCGCGCCAAACTAGCTGGCCGCTGCGCGCGCGAGCATGCGCGGGCTCGCGCGGCCGCAGAGATGCACCAGCCAACACCAAGCACTCATCGCAATCGCTTCCGCATGGGGTTTGCAGACCAAGTTGTGGGTGGGTGGGATGTTTGCGCGAGCACTGGAGTGGACAGGTTCAAGTTGAACTTTGGTTTCCTCTATAGATAACAATTCATCCGTGTCGCACCCCCAGTCATGTCAGTAGGGTGGGCTAGGCGTTTTGTCTGAGACTTCCTCACCGCTTATGATCCTGAAACAGCTACTGCAGTTGGAGGGGGTGGTAGTGTTTGTGGTTTTCAACATGGGACTCGCTTCAGCGCCGCGCGTATTCGTCCTTCAAGTTTCCAGCAATTGAAACAGTTGAAGAAGAGGGGTTTGTTGGTTGAATGGAACTGTCCCTTGGCACCGCTAGTATTCGTCGTACGTAACAGTTTGCAAGAGCTACATGGTTTGACGAGGGTGAGTTTTCTCAACGGAGCTGTCGCCGTAGCCCGACGCACATTCGTCCAAGTAACCTGCAACAATTACAAGGATGGCGGGGGTGGTTGTTTTCAAAATGGTACCCTCGCATTGCCGCCGCGCACATTTGTCTTAAACGCTTGCAATTGTTACAAGGATTGCCGTTTGGCCGTTTTCAACCGCGCACATTCGTTTCAGACGCTTGCAGCAGCTACACGGAGGGATGTTTCTTCTCAACATTGGGTTTTTGCTGGAGATTTCCCAGGAGCTCATGGCCTGAATTGTAGCCCGTGTCCGAAAGGGCTAGGATGAGGATGCATCCGTTCCAAAGCGTTCCGGAACGCTCTCAGAGCGTGTTGGAAATCTCTGAGAAGGGCGCGGCGCCCGAGACATCCTCCAGAACCGCCAGATCTCAGAGATTCTCGATTCATCCTCGCCCGATTTTAGCCTCGTCCTGGCTTCGTCTTATTGTGGGAGCGGTTCTCAGAGGTACTGGAGCCTTATCGTGTGACAAGCGGCCCGCCTCAGGTGGTCCAGGCCTTCTCGCCCTGCGTGCAGAAGGCGCCCCCTGGGGCTTCCTGCCTTGGTGCCGCGCGTGGGCGCGCGCGCACGTGCTCGCAGCGTTCGCGAAGCAAGACGGGGCGGGCCGTCTCAGAAAGCTCGGAGGTCCCCCGGCCTTCTGAGATTTTTTCTGTTGGCCTTGCCATAAGCACGAAAAACCTTTCAGAAGGCGCGAGGGCTTCTGAGAAGTCCCGCCACCTTCTGAGAAGGCATTCTCCTTCTCATCTCCCCCTCTCGCTCGCCGCCAATTGTGGTGGTCGCGAGTTGTGGATGTTCTGTACCCCTGCTCGTTTAGCACACTTGGACATCGGCGCTCCGAGTGGCACGGCGGCTCGCGCATGGTTTAGCTTTCGTCTCAGAGCGCCTCATGTGATCCATGGGTTTGTAACTTTGAACATCCCGTGTCGATTGATGTGGTTCACGCCAGCCGACTGCTTGTTGGATCCAGCTGGCCGCTGACCAACCAAGTCGGATGCTGCCGTGCAGAGTTCGGTTCCGAGATCAGTTTTAGATGTGGTCGCGATGCAGTTCATTTGATGGATGACATCACCTCGGCTTTCTCTCAAGCTCTCTCGTCTTGCCAGTCTGCAGCATGGGGCCAGCTTAAAAGTTGGGGCTTGCAGACAACAGCGCCGCAATTCGGGATTGTGCAACGAAGTGCGAACCGAGATCAGCATCGAATGTCGATGCTCCGTCGATACCAGCAATGCGCCGAGACATGTCCGATGATGGTGGTGGTGGTGATGGTGATGGTGGTGGTAATGTTGCTTCTGATTATGATGATCGAGGGGAATGAAGGGAATCAGGATGAGACACACAGGAGGATGGAGGTGGATTAACGATGAAGAACATAATGAGGGGAGATATGCGGGATGATGGGAGGATGGAGGAGGGGAGGATAATGATAGGTGGTCATGATGATGATGTTGGTTTTTGTTGTTGTTGGTGGTGGTCATGATGACTATGCTGATCATGCTGGTGTCGTTGCTGATGATGATGATGGTAATAATGATGATGATTCTGATGATGCTGATGATGAATATGCTGCTGTCGCTGATGATGACGACGAGGATGATGGTGATGATGATGATGCTGCTGCTGATGATGACGATGACGCTGACGACCGACGACGACGACGATGTTGACGATGACGATGATGATGCTGATGATGATGCTGGTGCTGATACTGCTGCTGCTGATGATGATGATTGTTATCGTAATTGTAGCGATCCTGCTGATGATCGTGGTCGTGGTGCTGATGATGATGCTGATGACGATGACGATGATGATGGTGATGCTGCTGAAGATGATGCTGATGATGATGCTGATTATGACGATGACGATACCGATGACGATGACGACGCAGAGAATGATGATGATGATGATGATTCTGATACTACTGATGATGATAATGACGGCGATGACGCTGACGACGATGATGCTGTTGATCATGCTACTGATGATACTGATGACGCTTATGATGACGATGACGGTGATTATGATGATGACGATGCTGATGCTGATGATGATGCTCATGCTGATGACGATGATGATGACGCTTATGACGATGATGATGATGACGATACCGACAATGTTGATGCTGATAGCGACGACGATGACGATGACAATGATGCTGATGATGCTGCTGACTGTGACGATGAACATGATAATGATACTACTACTCATAATGATGATGATGATGATGATGATGATGATGATGATGATGATGATGATGATGATGATGATGATGATGATGATGATGATGATGATGATGATGACTGCTGTCGATGTCGATGACGATGACGATGACGATGACGATGATGAGGATGCGGATGAGGATGATGAGCATGAGGATGATGATGCTGATGATGATGATGATTATGATGATGATGATGATGATGATGATGATGATGATGATGATGATGATGATGACAATGACGATGACGATGACGATGACGACGATGATGATGATGATGATGATGATGATGATGATGATGATGATGATGATGATGATGATGATGATGATGATGATGATGCTGATGATGATGATGATGATGATGATGATGATGAGTACCATGGTGATGATGCTGATGATGATGCTGCTGCTGATGATGATGATGATGATGATGATGGTGATGGTGATGGTGATGGTGATGGTGATGATGATGGGTGCTGGAGGTGATGATAATGATGTTGATGATGGTGATGCTGATGCCGCTGATGCTGCTGCTGCTGCTGCTGATGATGATGATGATGATGATGATGATGATGATGATGATGATGATGATGTTGATGATGTTGATGAGGATGAGGATGAGGATGAGGATGAGGATGATGACGGTGCTGATGAGGGTTGTAGCGGAGGGGAGGATGAGAAGAAACGTGCAATCTGGTATGGAAGAGAAGGAGGAGGAGGTTTTGATGTGGGTAATTAGGGGGAGGTGAAGGATGAGATGGAGGAGGGAGGTGAACGAGGAGGATGGATGAGGAGCACGGACGAGGATGGGAGAGAGAAAGAGAGAGAGATAGAGAGTAGGAGATAAAGGATAGAGGAGGAGGAGGAGGAGGAGGAGGAGGAGGAGGAGGAGGAGGAGGAGGAGGAGGATGAGGGTCGTGCCGGGTGGTGAACGGGCTCCCTGAGCATGCCTGCGCGGGTGCGCCCGCTCTGCTCCGCCGCGCTGTTCGCCGCCACCCCCGCCCGAGAGCCAAAGCCAACGGACGGCACCGCCACCCCGAGGCGGCTTGGGGCGTGCAGGCTCAGACGCACATCCGCTCCACGCCGTGGCCCCGGCCAGCCCGTCGACGTCCAGGAGAGGCCCGCCCTCGCACGCCCTCGAGCAGGGCGCCAGCACAGGGGGGGTCGCGCGTCTGCTCGGCGCCACCTCGCCCAGCAGGGCCTCGACCTTCGGGAACGCACCCGCGAGCCCGTTGGGGTGGTCAGGTAGGTAGTCAATCCCCGCTCATGAGCTCCTCGGGCCATTTGCCGCGGCGTTCCTGCATCCTTCTGGACGGTCGAACAGGCTTCGCTGTCGGCGTCGCCGCGGTCGTTGTCCGTTGGAGGCAGAAGGCCGCCTGTCCAACAGCGGACGCTGCCTGTTTTGGACCGGGCGTCTCCGGCTCCACCTCGCCCCGCAGGGCCTCGACTTTCGTGGACGCACCCGTGAGCCAATCTCCGCTCATCAGCTCCTGGGGTCATTCGCCGCGAAGTTCCGGCATCCTGTTTACCAGCCTGTAACATATCTCTGCACGAGCGAAATGGGCACGGAAAGAATGAGTACAATGTCCAACAGCGGATCTTGTTGATTTTGAACAGGACTCGCTGTCCACGCCGCCGCGGCCTGTGTCCATTCGAGACAGAAGGCCGCCTGCCCAACAGCGGCCGCTGTTGGTTTGGGACAACATTTGTTCTTGGGCATTGTACCCATTCTTTCCGTACCCATTTCGGGCGTCCAAAATATCCCCATCCCTATGATGGGCACCGTCTCATTTCGATGCCAATCCCAAGGATTCCCTCAGTTTCTGAGGGCGCATCCCGAAGACTGCCATCGCCTCTTGGCATGCCAATCGTAGGGACAGGGATCGGTTCGAGGCTTGGTACCTATCCCCGAGCTTCCTCTTGAGGCTCCCGATGGGTGCCTCGGTGAACGTCTCGAGCCCCGCGCTGCCGCCGCTGTCGTCAACGGTGGCTGCCGCCCCCTCCGCGCGCCTTCTTTGCGGCGCTCGTTGCGGCTCGCCTTCTTCTTGCCCGCCATCGCCGCGCCGTCCTTCCGCGGTGGAGGGGGGGGAGGAGGGGAAGGAGGAGGAGGAGGAGGAGGAGGAGGGGGAGGGGGAGGGTGGAGGACGAGGGCGAGGGAGGATGAGGAGGATTTCGCTGGGAGTATGACGCTCTCTATATTGAGGGCTATTCGGAACTGGGGCTCGAACCAGAGATGCCCGACCCCTATACAAGGTCTTCACAGATTTTTTGGGCCGTGCTGCTCCAGATGGCTCAAGCTGCGGTCGGTTGTCATCAGTCCCGCAATTTCTTGAGTCCCCCTCCCAAGGGCGTTGAAACTCTCTCTCTCTCTCTCTCTCTCTCTTCGAGTTAGGCCATGCCATCGCTTCGTCGAGCAGCAGCGGACGCAACCAACACAAGCCCATGCAGACGCAGCGCATTGGCTTGGCCCCTATGCCGATCTATCCGGCTACTGGGGTTGCTTCTGATGGCAATGCGGCAGTGCCCTTCGCCAGCCGCCAGCCCATATTTTCAGTCTTCTCGAGTTTCGGTTCGTGGGGCTTGTCGCTGCTGGCTGCCCTGCTCTCGCCTTGCCCTGCCTTGCCTCCTCCTCCTCCTCCTCCTCCTCCTCCACCCGCCTCCTCCTCCCGCCTCCTCCTCCCCCTTCTCCCAGTCGCTCTCCCTCGATCGCTCCCTCCTCGCCCGCACGCCCTCGGCTGCTGGCTCCCCCCCTCGGAGGGGGGGAGCCAGCAGCGCAGAGCCTTCTCTTGATGCGGTGCTGCGGGCGGCGCCACCCCGCTCTTGCCGTCGGGGCCCCCGGGCGGCCGCGCCCGGGTTCGCAGCCGCGCCCGCCTCCCGCCCGCGCCTCGCTCCTTGCGACCCGGGCGCGCCTCGGGGCCCGCCGCCGGCCTGGCAGGGCACCTCTTCCTGCGCGTCGCCGGGATGGGGCGGCCCGTCTGGTGCATCGGCGGCAAGGACAGGAGGGGACTGCTCTATCGGCGATGTATCGCCGATCCCAAGTCATTGTCCCCCCCCCGCCGAGCCAGTCGCCCCCCCCCCCCCCTTCGAGCCTCAGCACACCGCGGCGGCGCGCCCAAGGCGGTGACGCCGGGGGAGTGAGGTGGGATTTCCGACAAGCCTGCGGGGCTTTTCAGGATGCAGAGGGAGCCTCTTAGAAGCCATCGCGGCTGGTGAGGTCGCCCGCGCCCTCGACGTCCTGCCGCACAGCGTGCGCGGCGCCCGCACGCCACTCCGCGCAGGGTCGCGGCACCGCGGAGCATTTCCGCGGCTGGAGTTTGCTCCGCCGAGGCCCAGGCGGGGGCGGCGCACACGCTTCTACGTGGGTCCAGCATTGCTGAGGAGGAGGAGGAGGAGGAGGAGGAGGACGAGGAGGAGGAGGAGGAGGAGAAGGCGGAGAAGAGGAGAAGAGGATCAGAGGAGAAAGGGATCAGAGGAGAGGAGGTTCAGAGGAGGAGGAGGAGAGGAGGAGGAGGAGGATGAGGAGGGGAGGAGGAGGAGGGGGGAGGGGGAGGGGGAGGAGGGGGAGGGGGAGGAGGGAGAAGAGGAGAAAGAGGAGGAGACGGATGAGAAAGAGGAGGAGAAGGAGAGAGAGAGAGGAGGAAGGAGGAGAGGAGGAGACAAGGGGAAAAGGAGGTCGCGGCAGATGAGGAGGAGGAGGAGGAGACAAGGGAGAAAGGAGGTCGCCGGCAGATGAGGAGGAGGCGGAGGAGGGGAGGAGGAGGAGGAGGAGGAGGAGGAGGAGGAGGAGGAGGAGGAGGAGGAGGAGGAGGAGGAAGAAGAGGCAATGGAGGATGGAAGAGGAGGCAGGAGGGGGTGCAGGCAGAGCAGCGGGAGTAGCAGCGCCCGCGGCCCAGACGTACCTGCTGCGTGCCAAGAAGCACTCCCTGGAGGAGGAGCCGGAGGCGTACGAGGCCTGCTCTCCTCGTTGGCCTTACCAATTTCGATCCGACTTGATTCTTGGGCTTACGCCACACCGCCGACCCCTTGGGGGGGCTCGCAGCGCGTCGCCTTTGACGTCAGTTGGCCCGTCTTGGGGCCCTCGAGGGCTATGTAGGAACCCTCTTGGAGGCGTCTTGGACCGTCTGGGAGCGGGTTTGGGGGGCTCTGGGGCCGTGCAGGAGCGGGGGACACTCCCAAAGGCGCCCGTGTGAAAAAATATACGTTTTACGAAGGAAACGAGCGATTTTTTGCGTCTGCCTCTTGGGGGGAATCTTGGATGCCTGTGGGGGCGTCTGGGGAGGCCTCGTGAGCCGTCGGGAGGTCGTCGTCGATGTTTCTGATCGCTCTTGGACCGTCTGGGACCATGTGGAGCTTCGTGGAGGCAACTCGGAGCGCTCCTGGAACGCTCTTGGGGCCGTTTTCGGAGCCCTCTTGGGCCGTCTTGGACGCCTGTTGGCCCATCTTGGGCCCTCTAGGGGTCTGTGGGGGACACTCGGGGACCCTCTGCGAGGCTTCTGGGGCCGTCTGGGAGCGGGTTTGGGAGCCTCTTGGGCCGTCGGGCAGCATCGGAAAGATCCAAAGCAGAATTTTTTAAAAATGTACATTTCACGAAGGGAATGGCCCAATTTTGCGTCTAGGGACCCTTGTGGAACGCATCTCGGAGGCCCTCGGGGGGGCTCGTGGGGACCTCTTCTGCCGTCGAGGACGCCTCGTGGCCCGTCTTCGGGCCAACTTGGACGTCTTGGAGCGCTCGTGGGGCGTCCCAAACCTAGTTCGAGGCCACCAGACGCGTCCCTACACGATTGTCACGTGTTTTTCCACGATTTTCGGGAGCGGATGAGACCTCCGGGGGGTTCCGGGCCGCCCGGGGCCGTCCGGCCGGGACCCCCCCCCCCTCCAAATGGACCGGACCGGGCTCCCGGGGGAGGGGTTTGGGGAGGGGGAACATCTCACACGCCGATGAAACCCAAGGGGTCGGCGGATTTTGACCGATCCGAAAGGAACCCCTGAAAATATTGATGCTTGTGGGTCGGGGACAAACGTTGCTCGCGGCACGGTAGCGGATATTCTGACAATTGGATGCGGCCGATGCTTCCGTGGCGCTGTTATGCATCCTGGCGCGGCCGATTCCATTTGATCTCGACTCCGTGCCGATGCAGCCCGATCCGACACACATTCCGATTCGATCCGCCTTTTCGATCAGATCCTGGCTGACCTTGCCTTGTCCCAGGGCCATCCTGAGGCCATTGAGTGCGGTATTGTGAGGCATTCTTGGGGGCCTCCTGGGCCGTCTTGGCGCGATCTTGGGGGCCTCCTGGGCCGTCTTGAGCTGTCGGCAGCCCGACGAGGCGCGAACGCGAACAGCATGGAGCAGCCCATGGGCGATACACGTGATGTCTGTCTCTCGAGGCCCTCGTGGCCCTGCTCGCGCCTCTGTCCTCGACATCTGGGGTGGCGGTGGAGGTGGCGACCTGGCTCCCAGCGCCGGTCGAGGCCGAGCCTCCTGCCCCCGGGTTTAAGTCGGGCGTGCCCCCCCTACAAGGGGATTTTCGACGAGAAATAAAACATACCCCAAAAATACCCCAAGAAGGTAAACAAATACTCAAAAAATAGTCCCCAGACTATTTTTGGGCTATTTTTTGGGGCTATTTTCGGAGTATTTTTTTTGTCGAGAATCCCCCTGTAGGGGGACCGGCCCGACTTAAACCTGGCTCCCAGTGCTGGCCGAGGCCGAGCCTCCTGCCCCCAGGTGCCTCCTGCCCCCACGTGCTGGCGCTGCGGGCTCGCGCACCCCTGGCTCGCCCGAGAATCGGGGCACGCGCAGAGGCGGGCTTGGCCCAAGGTGGGGCCAGGGAGCGAACCCAGCTTGGGGCCGGGCGTCCAGAGCGATCTGCCTCCAGTCCCTTCTCTGGCCCAGCCCCACCTGTACGCCCCCCAGAGAAGGCAGACGCACGGTGGCTCGAAGCGTTACCGCGGCGGCGGGGTTGGCGCTGGCGTTGAAGGCTGAACGCCGTCAGTGTCGGCAACGCATCAGAGGACCTTCGCCGGAACGGCTTTTTCTGGTGTGGGCTCACAGGTCAAAGTCAGTGCCAGGGGGGATCCTCCTCCCCCTCCTCGACCTCCGTGGGCCCTTGGGTGTTTTCCATCGGCCGCTCCTCGTCAAGAGCCTTCTGTCAGGAGGGGAAGAAGCACAGACACAATGAATCGCCGGTCGCCAGGAAAATATTGGAACATATGGAAAGTTGGGGGGGAAGGCGAAAATCCAGAATATGAGAAAATATGGGGCACCTTGGGATTTGTGTGTATTTATTGAATCGCTTCGCTCATTCTGCCGGCCCGCATTGTCGCACCGCTGTCGGCTGGCCGAGTGCCGAGTGGTCGTTGGCAGTGTGGACCTGCGGGGGCGGGGGCTGTTTTTCTGAGTTGTTGCGTTCGAAATGATGAATGTTGGGGCTGAAGGAGCTGTCGTGGAGCAGCTTCAGGGCGATCCGTCTGGACCTTCTGGGGAGTTGTCCTGGGAATCGATTGTTTTTTCACGGGGTTTCTAGGTGTCCGCCGTTTTTTGCAGGCTTCTGGGGCCTTCGTGGGGGCGTGTTGCCCGTGGATGCTCACTTTGGGGCCGTTCGAGTCGGGGGAAGAGACATATTACGCGATGGTGGAGCCCTCGTGTCGGAGGGTGGCCTGGTTCGTCCTGATGACCTCTGTCGTTGCGGACGCGGGTGTGAAGGAACACTTTCTTGTGGCTCTACTCCTTCCTAATTTCTCCCTCCCTCTACTTTTTCCCTCCTTCCTCTCGGCGAGCTACAGGGAAGGGGGGTGACAGCAGCGCAGTGAGGCGACAGCGCAGCGGCCAGAAAACAGGAGGAGGAAGGGGCCCAGGAGGAGGAGGAGGAGCAGGAGGAGGAAACCGAGAAGGAGGCGGAGGAGGGGAGTCTGCTGCTGCAGCGGAGGGAGGGAGGAGGATGCAATGTTGCCAGGGGGTAGAGCGGAGAGAGGAGCCAGAAGGGGGGGGGGGACGGAAGAGCAGCGGGGGCAAGAGTGGGCTACTGCGCCGAGGGTTTTTTTTTGCTCGCAGGAGCCGCGGCCCGTGGAGGCCCGGCGCGGCGCCGCCCGCGAGGCGCGGCGGCGCCCCTCTGGAAGGCGTCTTTTGGGGTCTCGTGGGGGGCTCTCTCGGGGGCCTCTCGGCGGTACTTTGGAGGCCTCCTGGGGGCCTCATGGGGGCCTCTCGGGGGCCTCTTGGGGGCGTCTTGGGCCCTCTCGGGGGCCTCTTGGGGGCCTGTCAGGGCCTCCTGGGGGCCTCTCGGGGCCTGCAACGCGAACTGTTCGTGCCGTTCCCCCGCCGGGGCCGCCCTTGGAGCCGTCTTGGGGGCCTCTTGGGACATCTTGAAGGCTTTGGGGCTGTCTTGGGGCCCTCGGGGGCCGTTGCGGGGTGCTCCTGGGGGCGTTTTGGGCCGCGTTGGGGCGTTCTTGGGGGCCTTTGGGGCCGTCGTGGATCGCTGGTAAGCAGACATGGCGAGAAGGCCAAAATCCGTCAAAAGCTTTTGGGAAATCATCAATCGTTGCCTCTTGGGGGCCTCAGGAAAAGGTGCCTTGCAGGCGTATTCGGGCGTCTTGGAGGCGTTTGGGGCGGTCTGGAGGCTATCTTGGGCATCTCGGATCGACGTCCGATGACTCGGAGCCGTCTTGGTCCGTCTTGGGAGCCTCTTGGGGCCTTCTTGGCGCGCTCCTGCACTGCTCTGGGGGCGTTGCCTGGGCTTTCACCGGGCTGCCACCGGGGTATTCGTCGTCCGGGGACACCCAGGGGCCGCCCCGCGCGCGCTAACTACACACACTTATATATAGACATATATATATGCATATATATAGACATATAGCCTAAACCTGTTACCAGACTTTGGAGTTGTGTGTATTTATTTCTGTGTCCCTGGGCCCCATCATTCTGTGGATCCTGGGATCCTCCCGAACGGACGCTTGATGCTTGAGTTCTTGTCCGGAAGTCTAATTACGCTTGTTGTTGTCGTTGTTGGAGATGATGAGGATGAGGATGATGATGTTGGTTTTGGTGGTGGAGGTGGTGATGGTGGTGATGATGATGTTGGTGGTTGTGGTGATGGTGATAGTCGTGGTGCTGGTAATGAGGATGATGGTGATGGTGGTAGTGGTGATGATGATGATGATGGTGATGATGATGATGATGATTATGATGATGATGATGATTCTGATGATGATTTTGCTGATGATGGTGGTGATGATGGTGGTGGTGGTGATGATGGTGGTAGTGGTGGAGGTGGTGGTGGTGGTGATTTTGATGGTGGTTGTGATGGTCATGGTGATGGTAAGTTGCTGGTGCTGGTGGTGCTGATGAGGATGACGATGATAATGACGATGCTGATGATGATGTTGATGATGATGATCTGATGACGATGCTGACGATGATGCTAGTGATGCTGCTGCTGATGATGATGATGGTGGTGGTGATGGTCATGATCTTGGTGCTGGTGACGATGGCGGTGACCATGACGATGACGATGGCGACGACGATGATGATGATGATGATGATGATGATGATGATGATGATGATGATGATGATGATGATGATGATGATGATGATGATGATGATGATGATGACGACGACGACGCTTATTCTTATTAGTAGTATGATGATGATAATGCTGCTGCTGCTGCTGCTGCTGATGCTGATGATACTGATGTGGTAATGATGGTGATGATGCTGATTATGATGCTGCTGATGATGATGCTGATGATGCTGATGATGCTGATGATGCTGATGATGCTGATGATGGTGATGGTGGCTGCTGCTGCAGCTGCTGCTGCTGCTGATGCTGGTGTTGATGCTGATGCTGCTGATGCTGCTGCTGATGACAATGGTGATGAAAGCCTAAGGCTCATGCCTGACATATTATCGGAAAACCCAGGGGGGACAACGACACATTGTCCGAATGCCTAGGGGGCATAGCCTTTGTACGCTCTCTGGAGCTGCCGGCGGCAGCCGGCGCGGCAGCAGCACCGGTCGTCCTTTGGGGAACCTGCGCCCGTGCCGCTCCGCTCGGGTGGGGCGACCGGGGGGGGGAGTGAGAAGGAGGAAGGAGGTGGATGATGAGGAGGAGGAGGAGGACGGAGGAGGACGGAGGAAGAGGACGGAGGAGGAGGAGGAGGACGAGGAAAGAGGAGCGAGAAGGGACAGGGACGAAGGGACGAAGCGGGGATGACGAGGAGGAGAGGGGGGGGAGAGCAGAAGGACGCGCCAAGAGGTCAGGGGCACCGTTGCGGGGAGAGGCCGTGGAGGTTGGGTGCGCCGGCGCCCCATCGCCCACGGCATCGCCGAGCAGTGCTCGGCAGGGCAGGAGGGGTGTGGGGGCTGTGGGCTGGGTGTCCGGGGAGGGTGGCAGCGGGCGTTTTCCTTGGCTCGTGGAGGAAAATTTTGATTCTTGGGGGTTGTCTCGCCTTGGGATGCTTTCTAGCGGCTCCGCCTCGTCGGTAGCTTTCTTGAGGCGCCCGGATCGTCCCGAACGGCCGCCACATGCTTGAGTTATGACCCGGAAAGCCACTAGGCATCGAAGAGGGTGTCCTGACCAGGACTCCTCCCCGATGTCATGGCTTCCTCTTCCTCTTTCCACGCGTCCCCTGGCCCCCCCTCGTCCACGCGCATGCCTCGGGGGGGCCATGATGCGTCCCCCGCCGCTGAGCGCTTTCCTAGATACGTTACAGTCAACTTAGTAATGACGGGGCAACTTTCTAAGGCTACTCTTGCATCCCTGCCCCTTCGCTATTCGGCACCCTTCGGCATTCTGCCGCGCTCCGCACGGAAAACGTCAACATGGCGTCCCATGGCCCTCGCATCCTTACCGCGCATCCTTACCATCCTGGTCGAGTGTAGCGTCCCCGTCGCTGGGAGGCGCCAGGAAGACCAGCTGCGTGCAGCCGCCTTGAGGAGTCCCGAGGGAGACGGGTCCTAGATTCCGGGCTTCCCCCGGGACCAGCTCTTCATCCTGGGGAGTTTTTTCCACAGTGAGAACCACGAGAACGTTGAGGGGGCCCTTGAACGGGCCCCGGGAACCCACACGGTCCAGGACTCTAGGCCTGCCAGGTGGGGTCCGAGCCCGAGTAGATGGGGTCGGTGCATCGCGCCGCATCGCCGATGCATCGGCGATGCGGCTCGATGCGGAGCCCGATTTCCCAACGCCGACGTCGCCGACGCATCGCCGACGTCGACGATGCATCGTCAATGCGTCGGCGATGCGGCGAGATCCTCCGACACCATCTATTCCGACCCCATCTGGGAGGCCTCGAAGGACTCCTTTCTTCCGGGACCCGCTTCCTGCACTCATGGATGTAGCTGGTTCGTGAGCTCCTCTTCTGCTACCCCCCACGTCGTCCGACCCGGTCGTCCCTGCCCCCCCGCAGGCCTTCCAGCAGCTGTATCACCTGTATGGTTTCCTCCAGCGCAAGTCGGCCCTGGAGGCGTGCATGCGTTCAACTCGGTCGCCCAAGTTGTGAGAACCAGGGGGTCTGGGACGGTCGCGCATCTTATGTCAGGGTACCAGCCGACAGCCTCGCAGGAGCAGAACAGTAATCTGCCAGTCGGGAAGGTCAGCGCATTGCAAGCGCGTGCCGTCTCTTTCAATGGGAGCTGTGCCCGCGCATGTTGCCATGTTGCCTTGATGAGGCCAGGTGCTTCTAACATGTGTGTCCTGCTCAAGGTAGCTGCGCGCTGCTCACGACGGGGTATCGTTAGCATGAGTGTTTGCCGGTGCGCCCGTTGCACCGGCCAGTACCTACGGTCGTGCTTGATGAGCAGGTCGGAATTGGCCGGGTGTTCGTTATCTCCATCGTATTTGCCTCTTTGGAGCCTCTCTTCCTCCTCCCCTCTTCCCCTCCTCCTCCTCCTCCTCCTCCTCCTCCTCCTCTTCCTCCTCCTCCTCTTCAGCATGGTTTCGCCTTCGCCGCCACCTTTTCCGCGGCGCAGAGCATACGCTTGCCAGGCGCGCGGCTCTGGCGTGGGCTGTGCACCACGGGGGCCTCCCTCGGAGACGCAGCCTGGAAACTGGGAGCTGGAGAACAGATATGCGTCTCGGGGGTCTCGAGGGGGCCTCTTGGGGCATGAGTTGGGCCCCTTCGGGCGCCTCCTCAGCAAGTTTCGAGGACAAGTTCGTGGATTTCATGACCTCGCAGTAGCCTGCCTGCAATCTTCATGTCTTAGGAGGAGGAGGAGAAGGAGGAGGAGGAGGAGGAGGATGAGGAGGAGGAGGAGGAGGAGAAGGAGGAGGGGGAGGAGGAGGAGGATGAGGAGGAGGAGGAGGATAATAACAATAGTAATAATAGGAGGAGGAGGATGAGGAGGAGGTGGAGGAGGAGGAGGAGGAGGAGGAGCAAGGCTCCCAACTGAGAGCGTTTACGTAGCACGCGCTTACCAGCAAGGCTCCCAAGAGCGAGTGGTGACGCAACAAGCTTTTACGACCAAGGCTCCCAAGAGCGAACGGCAACGTAAACATCTCTGGGCACGAGGACTCTGAACAGAGAGCGGTGACGCAACAAGCTCTTCCCAGCAAGGCTTCCAACGGAGAGCGGTGACGTAACACGCGCTTACTAGCCAGGCTCCCAAGAACGAGCGGTGACGCAACAAGCTCTTACCACAAGGCTCCCAAGAGCGAAGGGTGCCATGAGCCATCTCGGGCAGGTTGCTGAAGCGCTCTTTCCGTTCCCGTGCCGGCCCAGGTCTGATGGCCTTCGGCCCATCCCGCCACCGTGCTTAGGTTGTGGGTCATAGGCCTCTTGGATGTTCGTTGGGATGTCGTGGGAGGCCTCTCGGAGGCCTCTTGGAGGCAATTTTGATGTCTCTTGGGGGCCTCTTGGGGCCTCCTGGGAGTATCTTGGGGCGGAAAGGAAAGCTCGAGTTGTCGGTTCGGGCTCCCCCTCTTGGGCCCCGCTGGGGGCAGTCTTGGGACTTTCTTGGGCCGTCTGGGGCGCCTCTTGGGCCGTCTTGGGGTCCTCTTGGGCTACCTTGGGGCCCTCTTGGGGGCATGTTGGGTCGTCTGGGGGCGATCTTGGGGGCCTCTTGAGCCGTCTTGAGGCGCTTTCTGAGGGGATGCAAACGTTTTTTACATCGTGGGGCCCTCTTGGGAGGCCTCTGGGGAGGCCTTCTTGAGGCGTCTCGGGCGCCTCTTCCGTCGTCTTCAAGCCATCTTGGGCGTCTGACCGATCGTTTGGCGATTCGGGGCCCTCTTGTACCGTCTCGGGGCCTCTTGGGGCGCTCTTTGCCCGTCTTGGGGCCCTCTTGGGCCAGAAGTAAATCATGCGACAACACCTGTGAGGCACACGACCAGCCAAGAGAGATTTAAGAGTTTTTACACAATCCTCGGGTTTCAGGGCTGGAGGATACTCCAACTCGTGCCTCAGGGCAAGGCGGCAGATAAAGCCGACCGCGGTTGATGTTATGATTTTGGTTGAAACCACCAGTACGAGGCGAGGATTATGTCTATAGTTGCGCATCGTTGTATCCATGACTGCATTTTGTATAACTAGCCACACGCGACATGTTGGGATGACTGTTATGGTTCTAGTTGCACTTGTAAGCCTCCAAGGACGCAGGGAATTCCCACCAGGTCTCCAGGTGCTTCCAGATGCTTCTGGTTGGCCTCAAGAAGCTCCCAGAGGCTTCGGAGGCCTCCGCGGGCTTCCTGCAGACGTCTACCTCCCATTCCCTGGTCCCTGTCGGGGTGGCGCTCGGCTGGGGCCTGGGGACAGAACTCGAGGAGATGCTTATGCGATTCTTCATCATTCCTGCCTCTCCGCCCCGCATCTGGGCACCGGTGCCTAATCCCCTTCCCCGCCAGCGTTCTGCGGCAGGCCGTGGAGAAGGCGGTCATAACGCTGGCGGGCGCTTTTGACACTGGCGACACGACAGCTGCCTGTGCGCAGCGATGCTTCGTCACCTTCCCAACCATCCTGGAGACCATCTCCGTGATGGACGCGTGGAGCAAACGCCAAACTCCCGAGTCCTTCCCTCGGTGTCGCCTGCTCCGCGTCTTTCCCTCACTGACTCCCCTCTCCTGGTTCATGTGGCACCCTCGTCTGTTCTTCCCTGTGTCCTCCAGCCGATTTTTCCTTCTTCCGCCTGCGCAGTTCCTCCAGGCCGCGAGCGTCGGCAGCAGCCTGAGATGACCCCGCCACCGTGCCAGCGCAGCAGCGCAGCAGAGAGGACGACAGCGAGATGCTCCTCCTCCTCCTCCTGCTCCTCCTGCTCCTTCTCCTGCTGCTGCTCCTCCTCCTCCACTTGCTCCTCCTCCTCCTCCTCCTCCTCCTCCTCCTCCTTCCTCCTCCTTCGTCCTTTCTGCTCCCTCTCTCCTCGTTCCTCTTGCCTCTTCCCATCTTCCCTCATCCCTCCTTCCCTCCTCTCGTCTTCCTTCTCGCCCCAGCCCTCCGCTTTCTCCCTCCCTGCTTCTCCCCCTCCTCCCCGCCCGCCTCCCCCTCGCCTTTTTCTTCCTCCTCTCCCCCTTCGCCGTCGCCACCCCCAAGGTGACGATAGGGGGGGGGCGGGGAGGAGGCAAAAGGAGGGAGGAGGAGAAGGAGGAGGAGGAGCAGAAGGGCGGAAGAGTAGGAGGAGGAAGAGTAGGAGGAAGAGGAGGAAGAGGAGGAGGAGGAGGAGGAGGAGGAGGAGGAGGAGGAGGAGGAGGAGGAGGAGGCCGAGGAGGAGGAGGAAGAGGAGAAGAGGAGGAGGGAGGAGGAGGAGGAGGAGGAGGAGGAGGAGGAGAGGAGGAGGAGGAGGAGGAGGACGAATCATATTAACAAAATAAGAGACGATTAATACGTATACGGAACAGGTACCGAAGACGACGAGTAATGCGAGTAATGCTACTACGACAGCTTAACAAAGAAGAGGAGGAGGAGCAAAACGAACTGGAGGATCAGGGCTGGAGAAATTTGTAGAAGGGGTATATGTGGCTGATGGGTAGGAAAGGGAGGAGGAGGAGGAGGAGGAGGAGGAGGAGGAGGAGGAGGAGGAGGAGGAGGAGGAGGAGGAGGAGGAGGAGGATGAGAGGAGGAGGAGGAGGAGGAGGAGGAGGAGGAAGGTGGGGGGGGGGGCGCTGAGCAGCAGATTAAGAGGAGGAGAGTACGGCGGAGGAGAAGGAGCAGTACAGGCAGGAGGACAATAGGATGATAATGAGGAGGAGGAGGAGGAGGAGAAGGAGGAGGAGGAGGAGGAGGAGGAGGAGGAGGAAGACGAGGGGAAGGAGGAGGACCAGAGTGAGGCGAATTTGCACCAAAGCTGCTGCAATAAGCCCCGCAGTCCCAAGTCTCCTCCTCATAAGCCCCTGCCAGAAATTACGTTGACAAGACGATCGCTTTCGGGTCCTGCAATTCAGGCGAGCGCCCCGTTTTTAAGCGGGGCCGCTACGCATGCTTTAGCTCTAAGGAAAGCGCCGAGGTAGGATCATACCATGCTAGGACATGTCCAGCGAGAACCCCGCTTTTAAACAGCCGCCCTCAATGCGTGTGACCTTTCTCCGAAAGCGACTGGTCATAAGACCAGCTAATCGCAACCGAAAGCCCCGACGTGAGAAGGAGCCGCCCCCTATCAGTGTAGCGGTTGCACACGTTGTGAGTTCTGCTGATCAGGGCCGCGGAGGTCCCAAGCGATCGTTCTATGTTGATAAGGGCTCGCCCTCCATGCGTGTACTTGTTGGACGCTTACTAGACACATGTGCGCGGCGCCAAGCCGAGAGCCTCAATGGGAAAGGGGGCGCGTTCCATACGTGTAATCGCCATTAGCTTGAAAGGCGAACGTGCGCGGCGCTAGGGCGATATCCACACTTGGAACATCCCCTCAATGCGTGTAATTCCTAGAAGTTTTCAAACGACTGTGCGCGGGTCTGAGTGGAGAGCCATATCTAGGAAGCACCCCCTCCATCCGTGTAGCTGGTGGGAAGCTCAGGCTTCGGGGTCACAGTCGGGGAGGATATTCCAAGCGACGCGCGGGCCGCCCTACCGACACGACTGGTGGTCAGACGGGAAGGAGCTCTCTACAGGGAGGTGGGAGTACTCAGACATAGTATGATGAGTAGAGGACCGCACAAGGTGGGAAGGGGACGATGGGGGAGGAGCAGAAGGATTACAACCTCCCACGCGTTTTCCTGGCGTCAAGCGAGAACCCACCACTGAAAGGAGCTGCCCTGCACAAGTGTAATGGGTGCATCATCCAGCGTCTTGGCAAACGTTGATGCGTCGTGTAGCGAGAGCCCACTTCAAACAACAGAGTCGCCCTTCTTCTGTGCCACTATTGCCTATGTTTGTTCCATGGCGTACAATTTGATAAGTAATACGGGAGAGCTTCGTTTTGTAAAGGAGCCGCCGAAGAGCGATACGCCCCACCTCCATCCACGTAGCCTTGCGCAGCTTTCAAGACGAATATGGGTGGGGCCACGGCGAGAACCGCACTTTGAAGACCACCCCGCTGTCCATTCGTGTAACTGCTGGGTGTTGCCATCAAGATGAGTGCGCGTGGAGTCCATGCAAGAGGTTCATATTTTCATTGGCCGTCTTCTATCTTTGCTGTTGGAACCGCAAGCTTCATGACCACACAGTGTCCAAACGTTGAATGCAAAACGCAACACAGCCCAACTTAGCGGCACGTTGAGGAGTAATGCTGATATCGTCAAGCTCGCAACGACGCGAACCATGGGGAGGCAATGCGAGGCAAGACATAGCAATGCAAACCACCCTAATGCAATCAATGTCAATGTCAGGGCAAAGCAGCTCGAAGTCTCCCAATGAGAACCAAGGACGCTCGAGGAAAAACACGATAAGGCAACACAAGTCAAGGAAGCCAATGCAAGGTAAGGCACAAAAAGCGAAGGCAATCAGGTGAGTAAGGTGCAGCCCAGCAAGTAACACTAATACGGCGCGTATAGCAAGGCAACACACAGCGACCCAAGCACATTGAATCAAAGCAGCCCCATGCACGGCCTGAGGCAAAGCCGGAGAGCTTATGATCGGCTGCCTGTCGAGGTAAATCTGCAGCTTTTGAGCTGCGGTTTTGCACTTCCTCCCCTTCGCTCTCCCACGCTGCGGCACTATTCCGCGCCCTCAGCAGCGCAACGCGCTCCACGTTTCTCCGCCATCTCCTCCGCCCACTCCCTGCTGCTCGTCTTCCTCCTGCCCTTCCACCCTGCCCCCGCCCCAAGATTCCACACAGCGCAAGAGGACGGTCTCGCGAGAAGGTGAGACCGCCCCCTTCGATCCCATCTCTCTGCGGCATCCCTCGAGCTGGTCCGAGACCACGGCGACAGTGCCCGCAGTGTTTTTTCCTGCCGACGCCCGAGTCTGAGGGCACCCCGGCAGCAGAGCCGACCCCCCGACCTCTCCTGGGGCGCGTGCGGGCGAGGATTTCGAAGCGGCTCTGGCCGTGGCGACGAGGGCACCCCCGGAGCCTCGGAAGGGGGCGAAGAGCATCGGGAGCACCCCCTCCCCCCCCCCCTCGTGCCTGCCTCATCCCCCCCCTTTCCTCCTGCAGCGGCCCACAGCGCTGCCGCGAGCGAATCTTAAATCTGGAATCTCGCCCTGGTAGCCTGTTCTATGCCTGTCTGTCCAGCAGGTGCTCGGAGCCTTTCAGAATCTCCTTCTCCTCCTACTCAGGTTTCCGTCTCCCTCCTTGCCCTCCCTTTCTCATCTCCTGCCTCGTTCGCTCCTTCGCTTCCTCCCGAATCCCATTGCTTATGAACATCAACTTCTCCCTGTCGCACCCCAGACGTGTCGGTAAGGCGAGCTGGGCGTTTCGCCCGAGATACCATCAGCACTTCTGATTCTCGAACCGCTTGGAGTTTGCCACGGTTTCAGGGATGGATGGCGGCTGGTTTTCAACATGTGGCTCTCGCCTTAGCGCCGCGCATATTCATTGCAAGCACTTGCAACAGTTTCAAGGATGGAGGGCGGGCTGGTGTTCAACATGTGGCTCTCGCCTTCGCGTCGCTCTCCCAACTTCCTCGCCTTCTGGGTTCCCCCCCTTCTGGGGTTCCCCCTCTTGTTTGTCGGTCTTCCGGCTTCGCTGGCCACTCCTGTCATGCTTTTGGCCGTGGCTCCATTCCCTGTTTCGGCTGGGTTGGGCTGGCCGCTGCGCTTGAGACGGTGTTCGTTTTGACTCGCATGTCGATCTAGCACGCTTCGCCTTCGCCAGGCCTGGCCATTGCACATCTTTCGTTCCAGCCTCGAGCTATACCCTGCCAGGACATTTCGTCTGCAGGGCGAGACTCATATACAGACCAGTATGATCAGTATAATCTGTATCTTCTGACCCTTTCCGTATCAGGCTGTTGAGCGCAATTTGTGCAACATAGCGTTGGTTGAGGAACAGAGATCCTCCTCCCCGATCCTCCTCCTCCTCCTCCTCCTCCTCCTCCCCGATCCTCCTCCTCCTCCTCCTCCTCCTCCTCCTCCTCCTCCTCCTCCTCCTCCTCGAAGGTCCCCCCCCTCGCTCTCCCCCGTTGCCTGCTGCCCGCTGCTGAGGGATGGCGGTGCCCTCGGGCTTCGGCGGTGGGTCCGGGAGGGCCAGCCGCTGGGACTCCTGCTCCCGCTGGACGGGCTGTGGGCGCTCTGGTGGCCTCCCTCCCCTGCGTCGGTCGAAGCCCATGCCGAGAAGCACCCCGCCTGCCTCCGTGGTGCCCCGGGCTTCCTGGGTCTCGCTGGTTTTGCCATGGAGAGCGTGGCCTTCCCACACCAGAAGTCAATGGACGTCCCGGGGGTCTCAGGGTTTGGGTTTCTTGTGGAAGGTTTCTTGTGGTCGAGCTCCTACTGTGCCCGTCTTGGCCTGTGCGCCGAGGTGTGCTAATCGAATCCCCCGCTGCCTGCTCCTCGGCGGCCAGCCCGGGGGGGACGTGAGCGGGGGCGGGCCTTCTCAGAAGGCTCGGAAGCCCCCTGGCCCTCTCAGAGAAGTTTTCTGAGCTCTCCCCGAAGGAGCGTGTTTCTTTGTTGCTTGGGGCATCATAATGGGCATTATAGCCCCCTCCTCCCCCTCCCCCCCTATAACGTAACGGCCCTCCCCCCCCAGTGCGCTCTGGGCACTGCCGCCGTGCGCATCGGGCACACGGCGGGAGGGAGGCGTTACACTATATTCCCCCCCCGGCCCCCCCCCCTATAATGCCCATTATCGCCAAAAATACAGAAACGCGCTCAATGCACAGGGAGCTTCTCAGAAGGCCGCCTTCTGAGAAGGCCGCCTCCTCCTCACCTCCGCCCCTCGCTCGCCGCCGAGCTCCGCCTGCCCCAGACGTGCCGCCTCCCTGCGCCCGCCTCCCCCTCTGAGAGGGTTTCCGATAAGCCTCGCCGCCTTCGGAGAAGGTCTTCTTCTCCTCCTCCTCCTCCTCCTCTTCACTTCCCCTCCTCCTCCTCCTCCTCCTCCTCCTCCTCCTCGTCCTCGTCCTCGTCCTCTCCTCCTCCTCCTTCTCCTCCTCCTCCTCCTCCTCCTCCTCCTCCTCACTTCCCCTCCTGCTCACCGCCGAGCCCCGAGAGGCGGAGACGCGCCGCCCCTCTGCGCCCTCCCCCCCCCCCCTTAGCGGCGGCGGCGCCGCTTTCCCCGGCCAGGACCGTCTCAGCCCCGGCCTGCAGGAGAGGCTGGCCCAGGAGATCCACGCCTCGAAAGTCCGCGGTCTCAGGGGCCAGGGGGGACAGAGGGAAGAGCAGGATGATGATGATGATGATGATGATGATGATGATGATGATGATGATGATGATGATGATGATGATGATGATGATGATGATGATGATGATGATGATGATGATGCTGATGATGATGATGATGATGATGCTGATGATGATGATGATGATGATGATGATGATGATGATGATGATGATGATGATGATGATGATGATGATGGATGATGATGATGATGATGATGATGATGATGATGATGATGATGATGATGATGATGATGATGATGATGATGATGATGATGATGATGATGATGATGATGATGATGATGATGATGATGATGATGATGATGATGATGATGATGATGATGATGATGATGATGATGATGATGATGATGATGATGATGATGATGATGATGATGATGATGATGATGATGATGATGATGAGGAGGAGGAGGAGGAGGAGGAGGAGGAAACAAACATAATACTACTACTAATAGGAAGAGACATGATACTAACACGAATGCACAGCATGGTAGCAACACGAGCGTTAACTATATACGAATAAGAACAATAAGCATAATCATATGACTAATACAACCAATACTAGCAACAACAATAATACTACCATTCACAATAATAGTGCCATTCGCAATAATACTAACGAGATTATCCCAGTGTGACCCTACCTAGGAGTTGGAGCATTTAGGAAAGCAGCATCTGCATCTACACCGACAGCTACATTTACATCTACATCTACACCGACAGCTACATCTGCTATGCTATGCTATGCTTTGCTATGCTGCGCTATGATATGCAATGCTATGCTATGCTATGCTTTGCTATGCTGCGCTATGCGGCGCTTTGCTGCGCTATGCTGCGCTATGCTATGCTAGGGCACGCTTGGCTGCGCTGTGTTGTGCTAGGCTATGCTACGCTATGCTATGCTATGCTGCGCTATACTATGCTATGCTATGATATGCTGCGCTATGCTATGCTATGCTAGGCTATGCTGCGCTATGCTGCGCTACGCCTTGCTATGCCATGTTATGCTATGCTATGCTGCGCTATGCTATGCTGTGCTGAGCTATGCTATGCTGTGCTGAGCTATGCTACACAATGCTATGCAATGCTATGCTATGCTGCGCTTTGCTATGCCATGATATGCTATGCGATGCTATGCTATGCTATGCTATGTTGTGCTGAACTATGCTATGCTATGCTATGCCATGCTATGCTGTGCTGATGCTGCGCTGCGCTAAACTAAGCTAAGGTAGCTAAGCTTTGCTAAGCTAAGCTAAGCTAAACCATGCTAATCTAGGCTAGGCTAAGCTAAGCTAAGCTAAGCTAAACTAAACTAAGCTAAGCTAAGCTGAGCTAAGCTAAGCTAATCTGAGATAATATAAGCTAAGCTAAGCTAAGCTAAACTAAAGCTAAACCTAAGCTAGGCTAGGCAAAGCAATGCTAAGCTAAGCTGAGCTAAGATGAGATAAGCTAAGCTAAGCTAAGCTTGGCTAAGCTAAGCTGGGTGAACCCAGGGGGCGCAACTGGGGGAACCGCGGGGCGGGGACTGGGGGAACCGCCCGGGGCGTTTTACACTGCCCGGCTCCTTTAACCAAACAAAGTAAGAACCCTCTAGGCAGAGCCTAGGTAGGGAAATAAGCTAAGCTAAGATGAGATAAGCAACGCTGAGCTAAGGGAACGTCACTGGGGGAACCGCGGGGCGGATGCCGGGGGAACCGCCCGGGGCGGGCAACACTGCCCGGGCCTTTAAGCATATAAAGTAAGAACCCTTCTAGGCAGAGCCTAGGTAGGGAACTATTAATAATATTAAGACGAATCACAATACTACTTATGTGATAGTATTCACAATAATATTACTTTGATATTAAGAATAACAATACTACTCAGACCACTAACAATAATACAGACTAATAATAATACTACTAATATTATTATTATTGATATTAACGATATTTATGATAACAATAATCAGAGTGAGGGGGCCGAAGGCTCATTCATTGTCCCTGGGCCCATGGCTGAATAGGGAATTTGTGGTGACAATTCTGCTTGTTGCGTTGTTGTTGTTGTTGTTGTTGTTGTTGTTGCTGTTGCTGTTGCTGTTGCTGTTGCTGTTGCTGTTGCTGTTGTTGTTGTTGTTGTTGTTGTTGTTGTTATTGTTGTTGTTGTTGTTGTTGTTGTTGTTGTTGTTGTTGTTGTTGTTGTTGTTGTTGTTGTTGTTGTTGTTTGTTGTCGTCGTCCCACCCGCGACCCAGTCCCGCGACCCACCCGCGACCACCCGCGACCCAATCCGCGACCCACCCGCGACCCACCCCGCGACCCACCCGCGACCCACCCGCGACTGACCCACCCGCCCACCCGCGACCCATCCCGCGACTCACCCCGCGACCCACCCCGCGACCCACCCGCGACCCACCCCGCGACCCACCTTCAAAGGAGGAGGAACCACCCAGACGCGACAATTGACGTTTACTAAACGGCCCTGTGCGTTTACTAAACAGCCCTGCCCTGTTCGATTCATGTCTTGTGTGCGTTTACTAAACGGCTTCGCTTGTCGGGGTGATTATCATGGGATGGATTTTCTGCCCTCTACACCCGCGACCCACCCGCGACCCAACAGCGACCCACCCGCGACCCACCCGCGACCCACTTGCGACCCACCCGCGACCCACCCGCGACCTACCCACATTGGTTTAGCGAAAGAATCGGCGCCTGCGGCGGGCTCGTTGTATACTTTGTGAAGCTTTGGCGTCTGCGGCGGGCTTCTCCAGAGTCTTGCAAGCCGTCGATGTCCCCGCCGCCCCCTCACTCCTATCCGCATCTGCGGGGTGCTATGGTAATAATTAATAAGTGTAACATAATTATCAGAAGAAAGAGGAGGAGGCGGCGGATGCGGAAGCGGAGGCGGAGGCGGCGGAGGCGGAGGCGCAGGCGGATGTGGAGGAGGAATAAGAGGAGGAGGAGGAGGAGGAGGAGGAGGAGGAGGAGGAGGAGGAGGAGGAGGAGGAGGAGGGAGGAGGAGGAAGAGGACGAGGGGGAGGAGGGGGAGCAGGAGGAGGAGGAGGAGGAGGAGGAGGAGGAGGAGGAGGAGGGGGGGGAGGAGCAGGAGGAGGAGGAGGAATAGGAGGAGGAGGAGGAGGAGGAGGAGGAGGAGGAGGAGGAGGAGGAGGAGGAGGAGGAGGAGGAGGAGTTGTTCAACTGTATCTGTTGGCCTCCGGCAGATCCCGTCACAACGCCTGGGTTGTATGTCAGAGGCCTCTTGGATGCTTGTAGGGATCACTTGGGGAGTCTTTCGGAAACATCTTGGACTCGGTTTTGGTGTGTCTGCGAGCCGCTCGGGGGTCTCTTGGAGGCTTTGGGGCCTCTTTGGGCCTGATTTGGGCTTCTTGCAGACCTGGGTTTTCTTGAGGGCGCCTTGGGGGCCTGCTGGCAGTCTCGGGGGTCATCTTTGTGCGGATGGTTTGGAATCTCACTTCGAGTTCCCCCTCTTGGAGCCCTCTGGGGCCCTCTGGGGCCGTCTGCCTCTTGGGCATCTTTGGGCCCTCCTGGGCCGTGAAGGGGCGATCTTTGGGGCTTCTTGACAGTCTTGAAGCGTCGGGGTCCCGAAAACACGAGAACGCGGGAATCCTTACAGCACCGATCGAACAAACATTATTTTTGTGGGGTGTTCTTTGGGCTCTCTTGGGGCGTCTTGGGGGCCTCTTGGGGGCCTCTTGGGCCGTCTTCAGGTCAACTTGGGCGTCTTGGAGCGATCTTGGGGCTCCCGGGGGCCCTCGTGGACGGAAATACGGGTCTCTTGGTGCCCACTTGGCCCGATTTGGGGCCCTTGCTCCTGGAAGAGTTACTCGTGGACACGCGACTAGCCCCAGGAGCGCCCAGGAGCGCCCAAGAACTCAGAGGACCCCAAGGGACCTGAGGACCTGCCTGGGGCCACGGTGTCGGATCAGTGTAGTAGTGCAGGTGTCGGATCAGTGTAGTAGTGCATAGCGAAGCCTCGTGCCTAACAATATTGTGGAGCTCATATGGGCACCAGACTGCAAGGACAACCTTATCCTGCTTCTATGCAGCATCCACGACAGGCATGTGCAAAGTTAGCAACAGCACAGAAGGCACCACATTGGCGGGATGCCTCGTAATAGAGGGTCGCTCCCAAGAGGCCTGGAGAGGACCAGGCCCAGCACGTTTCGGAGCACGTCCGCCAGAACGTGCTCCCGCCCATGGGAGGGATTCGGAGGGGGAGATGAGGAGGGGGAAGGAAGGCCCGGGCAAGTGTGAGGTGAGGGAGCAGGGGGGGGGGAGTGACGAGAGGGCGGCGGAAGGTGGATGGAGGGTCCTCAGCAAACAGTCGAAAGGAGAACAGACGAGGACAAGCAACTATTGCAAGAACATGCGGAGATGCACAGGCGGGATGAGCGGTGGGCGTGGAAGGCGCAGCAGGAAAAGTGAGGAGCACTAGCAAAGCATCAGACAGGAAGGGTCAGGAGAAATCAAAGCAGGATGTGAATGAGAGAGAAGCAGGGTGAGCCAGAAGTGAACGGACATACACACTGCGTATCGTTGCATGCAATGTCCTTAAACTTGTCTAGAGCCTGAGCGCGCACGAAGATACCGCGCGCGATAGCAGTAATGGTTGTATATATTTGTACACACATAGATAGATATCTCATCATGCGCACCTCTCCGAGGGAGTCGAGCTTAAATGCGACTAGTAGAAGTCGTCCGCGCTTCTTTGTGGCCGTTTCGCTAGGGGCATCTTCACCATTCTGAACATCGGTGGCACCCCTTTAGGCAGATCGCGACGTCCCGGTCCAACACCACAGCCTGTTTCATACCTTTTGATATGTGACCTTCAAACACACAATGTGCTTCAAGTGTTATGCACACGCATCTTAGACAATTGCAGTCTCGTCTGAGACGTCCTCGCAACGTCTAGCCCCGACGAACAACACACAGAGAACACACACGACACATACACACAACCCAAACAGCACAGAGCACACACAATACACACCATACACACATCACACACAAGACACATACCACATGCACATCACACACACCACACGCACAACACACTCAACACACGCAACACACACACACACGTACGCCCGCCCGCACACACAAACACACAAACACACATGCACGCACGCACGCACCCACACACACATCACACGCAACACACATACAGCACACCCGCATAGAACACACATAACTCGCAGACCACACACAAGACACCCACCACGCACGCACATCACACACAACACACGACATACAACACACACACGCATACGAACTCTTTGTATGAACCTGGGGACGCACATTCTACTTGTTTGTAGGTAGACATAGCTATTATACATGTATGTGTAACTATATACGTGTACGCACATTCGACGGCGTGTCGTTCTCTGATGGGAAGCGTGCTTCTGGGCAGGCATCGGGACTCCTGATCGTGCCAGCAAGCAGAAGCGCCTCAAGCGCATGGTCGGCCTCATCTGCGAGGTCATGAGGCGGCAGGACATACAGGAGGCCCGCGTGCTGCTAGCTGCTGCAACTGGGCCGTCGCGAGAGCGGGGAGGTGGCAGCGGGGAAGGAAGAGATTGAGGGGGAGAGGAAGCGGAGGGAGGCCCGGCCTCGGACGAGAGGGCACGGAGAGGGCGACGGGGGCGAGGGCCAGGCAGGCCTGGGAAGAGGACGAGTCGCTGCGGAGTGCTCCCGGTACGCTCTGGGAGGCCCGCGGCGCCCCATGCAGCCTCCGGACCCCGCCGGCTCTCACAGGGTCTCGCCGCACCCTCGCCCAGATCTGTCCTCGCCGTGCCTTCTCGGAGGCCGCGTGGTGGGCTGGGTTGGGGGGGGGGGGGCGAGGAAAGAGGGCGGGGGGCAGCGAGGGCTGCAGCAGGAGAGGGGCCCCTCGGGGCCCCTGGAGGGGCCCTTCCGGGCGCCAGAGGGGGGCCTCTGGGGCCCGAGAAGGGCACACTTTCCCTCCCCCCCCGCTCATCCCCCCCCCCCCGCCCCCCCCTGCAGTCAACCCGCACAGTGAGGATGGGTGCAATCCCCCCCAGGGCACCCTTGCGTCCTTGCCTCCTCGGCCCATCCTTGTCCACTTTCGTTGGCCGCGCCCCGCTAGAACAAGTACCGACACGGCCTATCGAGGCCCTTGCGTCCTCATCCCAGACATCCGACGTTTCGAGTTTTTTCGAGACGCTGGTCCCCGACCTCCCGACCACTTCCCTGGGACCGGTTTTTCATCCCGAGTCGGTTTTTGACGGTCCCGAGGGCCGGCGAGGGCGAGAGGCCAAAAACTGTGATTATCCCGGCAAAGCAACCTAACAGCGATGTGTAGGAGCATATCTGGAAGCATTCCCCTTAAGATTCAGATGAGAATCCTGTTGTAGAATTCTGCTGTTCTCGCAGTCGTAGTCGCATTCGCGATGGCAGTCGCAGTGGCAACGGCAGTCGCAGTCACAGCCTCAGCCTCAGCCTGCCTCAGCCTCAGCCTCAGCCTGCCTCAGCCTCAGCCTGCCTCAGCCTCAGCCTCAGCCTGCTTCAGCCTCAACATCAGTCTGCCTTCAGCCTCGGCCTCAGCCTCAGCCTGCCTCAGCCTCAGCCTGCCTCAGCCTCAGCCTCAGCCTGCCTCAGCATTCAAAATGTGGCCCGGGAATGAAGTTCTGGGAACTCGAAGAACACGAAACGGCCTACAGTTGGCTCCAGGCATTCAAAATCATGCCCAGGAATGAAGTTCTGGGAACTCGAAGCCACGAAGTGGCCTACAGTTGGCTCCGGGCATTCAAAATGTGGCTCGGGAATGGAATTCTGGGAACTCGAAGAGCACGAAGTGGTCTACAGTTGGCTCCGGGCATTCAAAATCATGCCCAGGAATGGAGTTCTGGGAACTCGAAGAGCACGAAGTGGCCTACAGCTGGCTCCGGGCATTCAGAATGTGGCCCAGGAATGGAGTTCTGGGACCTCGAAAACCACGAAGTGTGTAACTGTTTGCTTAAAACGAGTTCCGCGGATTCTCCCCGGATCCTGCCCGGACCCCCCTGGGGAGTCATGATGCTTTCTTTTGAGACCATGAGAAACCTATCAGTCTTCGCTGTTAGGTAAAAAACCTCCGTCTCGATTTTTTCGAGGCGCCCGATGTCTGGGATCGTGCGCCCTTATGGTTCGGGCCTGCCGTAGCCCGACGGGGTGCCTCCCCCCCCCTTATGGCCGCGCCGTGCGTGCCGCGGGCGGGTCGCGCCGAGCCGCAGGGAGAAAGGGCAGGGGCGGGGCGGCGCTCTCGGAGGCTGGGCTCTCTGGCCTGGTGTTGAGGCGGGCGTGTCCCTCGACAGGAGGAATGTGCAACAATAGGCAACAAATAGCCATTTTTTTTTTTTTTTTTTTTTTTTTTTTTTTTTTTTTTTTTTTTTTTTTTTTTTTTTTTTTTTTTTTTTTTTTTTTTTTTTTTTTTTTTTAAAATATTTTTTGTTTTTTGTTTTTAAATACCATGTTTGACTCTCTTTGGGTATGATTGGAACAATTTTCATCTTTCGTCCAGACTCCGGCTGTAGGGGGACACGCCCGACCAAAGCCTGGTGGTCGCCAACATGCCTTCACGGACAATGCCTCTGAGCCTCGGACGGGAACCGCGCGCAAGCCTCGCCAGTCTATATAACGCGCGAGGACAAGCAGCCCGCGCCGAGCAGAGGAGATCCCAGGAAGCCCTGCGCCTCTATGGGTCCGAGCAGATGAGGTCGGAGGGTCGCGCCGTGTCGTCGATGCATCGGCGATGCGGCTCGATGTGGAGTCCGATTTTCTCCACGCTGGCGTCGCCGATGCACCGCCGATGCATCGCCGATGCGGCGCGATCATCCTACCCGATCCACTCCGACCCCATCCAAGAGGCCTCTGGTGCTGCTGGGCGGTGCAGGGTCTGCCCTCCAACCCTCGTTGCCCGGATCGGGCGACGAACTCTGCACACGTCCACTGCTCCCTGGCCAGGCCCATGCTGGACCCCGGAGCCGTGCAGACGTACGCCCTCCCAGCCAAGCCGGGAGGGCGTGGCGTGTACACCGCTGCCGGGTGCAGGCTGGGCCCAGTGAGGGAGCAGTGGATCTGTTCAGATCTCGTCGCCCTGTGGAAGGCTCAGCCTTGCCCGCTCGAAGTGTTCCATCCTATCCTGCGGTCGAAATCGAAGAGAAGGGTGGGTTATCTTCCCAAGGGCACCCTTGCATCCTTGCCTCGGTCCATCCAGAACCACTCGACATCCAGTCCCTCTCGAAAAGCATCGACTTTGACGTGCAAGGGGTTTGCATCCTTACCGCGCATCCTTACTAGCAGTTTTGACTCTATCCGATCCTTTCCTGCCGTCCTAGGAGGTGGGGAGTTGGACTGGCCCAGAATCGAGATACATCCGTTCCAGAGCGTTCTGGAACGCTTTCAGAGCGTCCTGGAACGTTCTGATAAGGCCGCAGCGCCCGAGACCTCTTCCAGAGCAGCGATTCTCCGATCTATCCTCACCCGAATTTGTCCTCGTCCCAGGGAGCACCCGGGGCGGAGGCGGAGGCGGAGGCGGAGGTGGAGGCGGAAGAGGAGGAGGAGGAGGAGGAGGAGGAGGAGGAGGAGGAGGAGGAGGCGGAGGAGGAGGCCCGTGCTTCGTCTTGCAGGGGACTGTACTTGGAGCAGGAGGAGCAAGAGATGGAGGAGGAGAGGGGAGGAGGAGGAGGAGGAGGAGGAGGAGGAGGAGGAGGAGGAGGAGGAGGAGGAGGAGGAGGAGGAGGAGGAGGAGGCAGACATTGTGCTCTTCCGGGCGTCTGCGAGGAGGCACTGCGCGAGCAGTGGCAGGCTTTCTCGAGGGGCAACGCTGGGCGGGGGGAAGTGAGGAGGGGGCAAGCCACGCGTCGGAGGCCACGATGGGGGCGAATAGCCCAGGGGGGACGAATACAGTAGTCCAGGGGCGCCGATGGTCTATGTCTTCGGGGAGGCTCCTGGGCGAACACGTGCAATGCCCCATGGTCGCCTTCGAACGCGCAGAGGGGGGTACGGGTCGGACGGGGCTGGGACGAGGATAAATCCAATCCAGAGCGTTGTGGAACGCTCTCAGAGCGTTCTGGTACGCTCTCAGAGCGTTCTGGAACGCTCTGATAAGGCCGCGGCGCCCGAGAGGGGGAATTGGATAGGGGTCACAGGAAGAAAAGATATCGATACCGCTGTATTTGCCTCGTTGTCGCCTGTTTGGGTCCCGCTGGATTCGCCTCGAAATTCTTGTCAGAACGCACCCCAGGAGAGGTCTGGCATAGGTCAGCCACAGGCAGAGGGGGAGGGGGGGAGGGCTTCTTGGACGCACCCCTGCTGAAGGCTTCTCCCCTCCCCCTACCCCCTTGTGCGTGCCGGCAAGGCACTGGGACAGGTAACATCGACCTGAAATCGGCGATGCATCGCCGATACATCGGCGACAGGCCCCCGATGGCAAGCCAGGCGTACCTGGACGGAGTGGGGCTGTCAGGCCCCTGGCGGCCCGACGGGAGACGCTGCGCCAGGGGCTTTTCGGCGAAATCCGCACTCTACCCTCGCCGATCCACGATGTGGGCAACTTGATTGGCGGCGGGGTAGGGTTCGAAATTCGTCGAACACGATGCGAAATCCGAACCCTGCCCCCGCCTCCCATCGATTCAGGAGAATCGATGGTTGGTGGGGGTAAGGTTCGGATGTCGCCACCTGTTTGCACAGTCTTCGGCGTCTGGGGGCGTTTTTTCGGGACCCCTGGAGACTATCATATCCTCCAGCGCGTAACGGTCGTTGCCTCTCCCTCCGGGTAACGCGAGAGATCGTGTGTGTGTGTGTGTGTGTGTGTTGGCGTGTTGGTGTGTGTGTGTGTGTGTGTTCTGCCCCCTCCTCTCCCCATGCTGGTGCTCGTGCGCACGCTGGTGGCGATGGCAGCGCAGCCCCGCCCCGACTTGCCCCACCCCACCCAGGGCGTCACCGCTGCCCAGGGTTCTCTAACCCCCCCCCCTCCTCCTCTCCTGTGTAACGACTGTCACCAGAAACAACACCTCGCACGTGAGCGTTGTTGTATGCCGATCGACGCGGACCCCCAAACCCCGGAGTGGACCTTGACTGTTTTGGGGCGCCTGTTTCGAGCGGGTGGAGTCCCCCAGAGGCAGCACTCTTGCAAACAGCCGCACTAAGCAGAGGTCCGGAGCCAGACCCCCCCCCCTCCCCTTCCTTTCCGCCCAATGTCGAAACGCCGAATAAAAAAAACGCTCACAAGGTGAAGCGAAGTTCAACTCGCACCTCCCCCCAGCCTGCGTTCTCTGTGCGTGCGGGCGCCCTGCAGCACGTGGCCGCCGCCACTTCGGGATGTCGAGGCCGGGGCCGCTTGTCTCCCGCCCTCCTTCAGGAGGGGAAAAGACACAGACACAATTAATCGTCGATTCCGAGGAAAATGTGGGAAAATATGGGAAGTGGGGGGGAAGACGAAAGCCTTGTTATTTGTGGGTATTTATTGAATCACTTCGCTCATTCCGCCGGCCCGTATTGTGCCATCG